ACAAAACACACAAGATTCAAATGTGACCTTTTCTCTAGTCTATTTCCGGGTGTCTTGCGCTTTAACTCACGATAAATATTCACCAACTAGCCAAGTTTTCTGCGTTGCTTAGTGTTTCTTTGACAGGCGTGGGTAGACCACGCTGGCGCAATTCACCCACAGTGTCTCAGTGTTTGAGTTTTAGTGACCTTTTCTGTCTGTCATGAATATTAATCTCCGCGAACGCATTAATGATGAGCGCTTCTGAGCAGCTCGTTTGGGGCGTGCATGCCATTTATTTATAAACAGTCTCACAGTGATATAACAGATCTCTCCAAAGCTGATGTTTCTTTCGTCTCACCTTCAATGCTCATTTATCTGTGTAATGAAGGAATATAATTTTACCAAGAGCCGCTGGAGCGTAAAGAACACCTCCATCTCACAGCCGTTACTTATGCTTGGAAACTTTCGCGTTTGTTCTCTCTGTCTCACGATCAATTATCTCTCTTGTATCGAACGCGACGACGTAAAAATCATCGGCCAAGAACACACCCATGCAGAGCCGGGAAAGTTCTGTTAACCGTTACATGCCGAGCTTGTGTCCTGTGAGACAAGAGGTGAGACACATAAAAAATTTAGGGCTTTTGCAATTTCATTTTATTTTATTTGGTATTATTGAACTTTCTTAAATGTTCTGAAAGGGGAGAAGCTTTTTGCATTTCAAAACATTTGTTAGTTATTGCCTCTCTCTAAGCGAACATGTTTTTCTTCACAAACACGCATCATTGGTTTACGGAAGACACAATACATTGAGTGCTGTCCCAGAAAAAGAATGGCTTTGCATAATTTTAAATAGCAGTCAAGATAAGCACGTTATTTTGCCTGGTATGCAAAACAAAGGAGTCATCGTGAAGAGATTGCAGAACGGGTCGTGGTGTCGAAGGTACAACGACAAACTAGCTGGCTCTGGCCGGCGAGTTATTCGTTAAAAGGACGTCGTTCGTCAAGAATGACGGCATCAATTCTCACCTGAACACCTCGGGTACAACGGTGGTCTTGTCTTCCAACTACTCTGCCAGGCTTCTTGATTCCGAATTTCTTGCTCCTGTTCAACAAAGACGTCGGCACCTCCTTACGCAACAGTTTAGGCGCATTTCAGGAGAATTTTAGGCACGTATTTGTCAAGATTTTGACGCAGCAATTGATCAACTGTTGCGCGCCAAATATATTCTGCATCCGCGGAGAACTTTGCGGGTAAAGAAGTCGGAGGAATGTTTTTACATATATATAGACGTTACATGACAAATAAAAAGTATTGTGCAATAATAAACAGGCATCACTCTTCACTAAAAAGCTATTAGGCAGGGTGTGCCTAGGGCCAGCACGCTGGGCTCTCATTTATTGGTTATGTAAGTGAATTATGTCCTCATTGTTGAAGATTACATTATCTACATCATGTACGCAAATTATAACATTTTGTTTGTTTCAGAAATCAACGATGTTCACTCACCCATTTAGAAAATGCAGTACTAAGAAAAACGCATATTTTATTGGTAAAAACACTTACGTCAGCTAAATTGCTTTAAGAGAAATTGAGTGCTTTTTAGAGTCAAGTCCGCTTCTTGAAATCTTACGAAGCATTTTGGAGTAAATATCAGAAAACTAGAACTTTCAGCGCTATCTAGAACACTGGGTGTTAGTTCTTATAAACTGACCACTTCATAAACTACCAATTACTGGAAATCCAAGCTTTGAGAATCGTCAAGCATGTTGCGAAGATGCCAGATATTCATACAGCAGAAACTGATGATATATGATGTGCTACTTGCTTCGCATCTCCGAAATTGCGCCGTCCTTAGGTCAACCAGTAGAAATAAGTGATTACTTCATTCAGTGCCAATCCGTTAGTAAGCATTTCAGGCTATTAGTGACGCACGCTAATATTGCCGTACGTGTCGTCGTTTCTGAACTTGAAAATTATCCCAGTTGGCAGAGTGTACTTGAGCAGGACCTCATGTGTTCTTTTAAATTTGAAACAATGGACTGTGGGTACTACTTCTATGAGGGAAGATTACGAACTTGTTAACCAAATTGAGTGGGCAATGTGGCAGCACGTTGACAGCCATGCTGAACGAGCACGTCTTCTTTCTTGTGCAGATTTTGACTGTCGCCTTTGGTGAGCATGCGCTTGCCTTGGAAAATGCTTCCATCCGGTTGGATTCGCCAGCTGCGGCAGTTCGAGAAGAAAATGACGCATTTACTGTTTCGACAATCTGCGATTTCATCGAGCCGATGCAGTATGAACGTGTGGAAGCTACTGACTACAGCGTTTCCTTCGGAGTGACGTCACGACTTGACAGCTACTTATACCGGCCGACGTCCCTCTGGCACTTCAGTGGGCAATGTGGCAGCACGTTGACAGCAATGCTGAACGAGCACGTCTTCTTTCTTGTGCAGGTTTTGACTGTCGCCTTTGGTGAGCATGCGCTTGCCTCGGAAAATGCTTCCATCTGGTTGGATTCGCCAGCTGCCGCAGTTCGAGAAGAAAATGACGCATTCACTGTTTCGACAATCTGCGATTTCATTGAGCGGATGCAGTATGAACGTGTAGAAGCTACTGACTACACCGTTTCCTTCGGAGTGACGTCACGACTTGACAGCTACTTATACCAGCGGACGTCCCTCTGGCACTTCAGTCAGGGGAGTGAAACTTCCTATACCCTCCATGGAACGCGATATTCGCTCGCAGCGCCGGACGAACGCCTGGTGTTTGGGGGCGGTACGAAAACATGGCGGCGCATTGCAGACATGCACTGGGGGACGCCATCTTGATGAGGACTGAGGATCCGAGTGGCGAGGGGGGGATTCAGCGCCAAATTCAATTGGGATGCACCAGCAAGCCAAATTGAGCGAGTGGAAGGTACTCAGATGGCGAGCACGCGACCTTCTTCCTGTTGCGCAACCCGCCACATGATGAAAACGGCCATCATTGCGTTCTGATTGATAGTCTGCCCATCCACCTATTTGTGCACTACTTATTCTAAGTAAGACGTTTTTGTTTACGTATACACATAAATTAGACAAAATAAAGAGCAGAGTTTGTTTGAAAGTTTTATTGCCTAAACGTACGGTTTATGCAGTACAAATACAACTTGAATGTTTTACTTTTTTGGTCGCATACAAAAGTGGACCGCACATGCCAGCATGCTAATAACCTAGTATCAATCCAGTGCACATTGCCACACATACGTATATACAAAGACAAAAGAAAAACAGTAATAACTATACACAAGTTCACAGCACGTATCCCGATATAAAATCATCCCATGAATGGGACAAGATAATACGGCACACCGCACACTTAGGATGCAAGAGGAAATGATACAAAAACCATAAGGTACCGGAGTTAGACAATGCTACATTTTTTATTCAGCATCAGGTTTCTTTATAAAAGCTGAAGCAAAAATTTACAAAATACTGAAGCCACTATAGAGTGTTCTCATAAAATAACACGAAGGGTTTATGCTTTCTTCAGCGTAACATACCTATATTGCTTAATGAAAAACACAAAAACAAAATACAAGCAGATAAATAGTACACACACATGTCCGCTTCAGAGGCAGAAAATGGTGACCTCAGCTATAGAAGTAGCGGTGACTCAAAAATATGGAAGTAGCGCCTACTTTTGCGCATATGTGTGTCTTTTTGTCGTCCGTGTTTTCTGAGCGCTCAGTTTTTCAAGACCTCAAATATGCAAACAGAATCCTAAAAGTTACAAAAAACTTCCGCATTTTTTGTGCTGCAGTAGATTTTCTGGTGCGCTGATTAGCCAAGGAGATGTTCACGAAGCGAATATGCCACAACAGGCGAATCCTTGCAAAGAGGTGCACAAAGGCTTTCTTGCATTCTTCAGAGCAGAATTTTTGCCTTCCCATAGAACTGTGCAAAATGCCTGCCAAAACTCCACTCACATTAGGCAGGTGCGCCACAACACCGATATATTCCAAAAAGCAAGCTTCCATGACCTTAATATCCTGAAAGCAATCGTCAGAAGGCATTGTTACATTGCCAAATAAATCTGAGGAGATGTTGCTTGCCTTAAACATAGCAAAATACTGGTGTGATGCACAAAGCTGGTGGTCGCCTTTCTTCAAAAGGGTGTTGCACACACAGTGTGGAGGCCTGTGAAACAAAAATTGCCGTACGAGATATCCCCCAACATAGTAGAGAACGTTGTCCTCTACTATATCATGGCTAACGGGCTGTTCCTCATCAGGAAGCATATCGACTGTTGGTGCTGCATCACAAGTAGTAGGAAGCGAATGAGGTGGCTCTGACATTTGTGACAACACAGTGCTGCGATCCTGTTCACAGTTTCCTTCTGAAAAAAGGGCAACCAGTTTGCCAACAGAAATGTGTTTCAGACCTGTTGTGAACTGAAGCACATTTGGGTTGTCATTGCAGCCATGCTTTAGCCTAAGAAGCCCGAAAAGGTTTTCCAGGGGGTCCTGCTGTAGCCAGCGAGTCAAGAGAACACGAAAATCAAAATCTTGGAAGAGGTCGTCCCAGAGGAGAAGGATAGCCTTTAAGGTGACCTTCCATGCCTCAACTGTGTGTGGTTGCCGAGGCCCGTCAAATTTCCACCTTTCAACCCACGACAGGCACTCCCGCAAAAAGGCTAGGTGTTCGGACCCTTCCGAAATTGCATAACGTAACTTGTCACTGGCTTTTTTTTACAGAAGAGCTATTCAGACAGTCGAATAACTTATCTATCTTCTCGAGAAAATCAGCTGTTGGTTTGGCGGATGCCGGCAACACGCCAAGAGCAATGAATACATCAATGGCCACTGAGACCGATTCGCTCATCACCTGGCTGGCATATTTAAATTTCATGTTATTGAAAGGCTTCCGGTAAATGTGGTTGTCGGTTAGTTTCTTCGCCAATTTGAGTTTGAGAGGATGCGAGCTTTCGTATAGTTGCGTAATGAAAGACCAATCCACAATTTCTTGCCCGATATGGAGCTTGTGAGGTGCGCGGAGATTATTCCTTGTGCATTTAAGTAAGTGTGGTGTGTCATATAGGAAATAAATCTTGCGGCCTTCAAGCACAAAAAACGGCTCTTCAGGCGTCACACCTAGCTTACTTGCCAAAGTGATGTTGCTTCCCCCCTGGTCGCAGATGAGCGCCTTCACAAACAACCGGGCTCCCTGCAGCTGCTTGATTATTGTTATGATCAGATGATGAAGAGTATCTGCGTGTGTTTTGGTCCTTGATACTGTGTAAGCAACAGGCTGAATCCACGTTTTCGAAATGCCTGCCACAAGTATCAGGAGCGCTGAATTTGCCACGGCTGGTGTTCTTTGCCTACCGTCATCGGAGAATCCCATCACAATGTCATGCTTTGCATCATACTGCAGATGTTCCTTCTAGGACATTTATTAAAATATTAATGTGCACGCACGATCTGTTAAATGCCAATTTCGGGTAGCTTCTTCGAGGGCTTCAATAGCGGTTGGAATAACTCCGGGAGTCATCGGAATATTTCATAACCACTGCTTTAGCGACCTCACAGTTGGCATGTCAAGCAGTCTTGACAGATGTCTGTACGCTTTCGGACCATGAAAGTATAAGTTTAAAGCGAACTGGCGGTGCTCAGGCGACCACCTCCGTCCTCTACGTTTCACGCCATTAATTTTAACTTGAGTCTCAAGCAATCTAAAGAATGTCTTGCGGACATAGGGCCTGATAGCATTCAACGCCTCGGACTGGGAAAGCTTTTTAACCTTTCTCTTGCCAATTCTTGACAGTGCCTTCCAAAGCCTTGAATTTATCTTCTCCAGGTTCTTCATTTTTCTGGCTGTCCGGGGCGAGCACCTAGAAGGCTTGTGTTGTCGATCGGCTGGATTGAAACCTGAAAGATTTAGGAAAAAAGCTCATTTATACTGTGTTTTTGTGAAAGCTGACCATGATCTTTAAACCTAGTAAAAGTTCTAGCGGCTTTTAGAATTTAAGTGATTACTTCCATGAGTAATCAGTTGGTCATATTTAGTTCTCGATCCTTCACTTATTCAAACTTGGGGCATTGGGAACAGGCCTCTGATAAGCACACTGCTGGGCATTGAGCCTACTAATGGCATGTATAAGCATCGTGGGCAACATGAAGCGTCAACTAATTTTTCCTAATCATTAGCATACTCCTTGTTAACAAACATTATTGGTTATACGTTTAAAATGGTATGTTTAGGAAAAAACAACGAATTCATAGTCTTCTTGAAAAAACACTAATCCCTCTTATAATAATAATAATAATATCTGGGGTTTAACGTTCCAAAACCACGATATGATTATGAGGGACGCCGTAGTGGAGGGCTCCGGAAATTTCGACCACCTGGGGTTCTTTAACGTGCACCTAAATATAAGCACACGGGCCTCAAACATTTTAGCCTCCATCGAAAATGCAGCCGCTGCGGCCGGGATTCGATCCCGCGACCTGCGGTTCAGCAGTCGAGCGCCATAACTACTAGACCACCGCGGCGGGGCACTAATCCCTCTTAGGAGGCAACAAACAAGCAAGAAAGGGATCGGACAAGCACTCGTCTCGTCCTGCCTTTCGGTATACATCGCTCTGGTTCTCGTCCCCTAGCAATGAACTAGCTCGCCCAGCTGACACCGTAGTGCACTTTGGGATCTGTTAAATGGTACGTGACATTTAAACGATAGCTTCAGGGCATTAATTTATCTGGAATAGTTTTAAAGAGCTTAGAGAGCAATACGATTTGCGTACATGAGGGCTCAGTCTGTTGAACTTCTTCATCGGCGCTGTGAGCGGGCATTGCAGTGGTATTGGTGGGCCGAGGAGAGCCTGTGAAGAGAAATTGGCGGAGCACAGATTTTTGCGTGACATACATACAGCTGGTATAAGGCGTCACATTAAATATTTGCAATTACAATCACTCAGGGCGTTTTCTCACTATTAATTGGTCTCCTCGCGTATTATGTCTCAGTACGAGTAATAAAAAAAGTGCAAACACACAAAAAGAGAACGCTACGTGTCACTCACTAAATATATGGGTGTCCCAACTATCCTAAACCAATATTTTAAAAATCTTAATGCGACGTGCCTAGAACAGGTTAACATCGTGGTGCCCGTGATGACCTAGCGCGTAACCGAATTCTTGCCAATTACACTTATTTGGCCCATTGAAAATAAAAGTAATTTTGTAATAATAAAGCTAATAAACATAAAGTACCTTTTGGATTCTTAATTTTAAAAGCGACTTTGAACTAGGGTGTCGAAGAATATATATATATATTTCTAAAAGGCCAGTTCTGTTGCTCCCACTGTCAGAGCTATCGCGCAATTGTTTTAACAGCGACACCAAGTTGGCCGCTACTCACTCGCCATGTGCGAAATAGCTGATAACGCGCCACATGGAGTACTCTCTCAAGTTATGAGGTCATTTTCACCTTTTCCTGTAAAACGCTACGCCACGGGTAAAATAGCAGAGACAACTGAATCAGAATCGAGGAGGTTACATGTAGAGCGTTCTGAGTGAGACGTTTGCTCTAAATTTAACGATTGTGAAGCCGGCAAATTTTTTACTTAGCTAGTTATATCTACCAGCAAAATCATGCCGGCGAATCCATGGATGCTGTGTACACCATGCGTTGGTATTGTTGGTGTAATCTGCACGAGAATCTTAAAAATACTGAGTCATGATAACTCGGACAGGTACAAATATTGAGTATTAAAGCATTTCTGTAAATATATGTAGAGGCATGAAAGTTTGTGCTGTTGTATGATCACTTTACAGTATTCCCACCTGGACTTTCGACGTGTGTCTGCCCATCGCCAAAGATGGAAACTGTTGGCACAGCACATCTTAGCAGCCTTGTCTGTCCAGGGTCTGCGTAGTCTCTGCTGGTGAAATGGGCAGAGCACAGGCGGTAGCTGCTGTAGCTCTGACGAGGTGGTAAATGAGCCAGGTCCTGCCGTGTCGCATACTGAAGCCAAGCGCGAGATCTGGAAAATCAATGTGTACGTGAGTAGTATTTGGGTTAGAATGGATTTATTTCTGTTTTCAGGCGTAGATGGATAGCTTTGAGTGAAAACTGGCATCTTTATTTGAAGTAAGCGTTATTTGATACATTTCTCATCTTCCTTTTTTAATTGAATTTTTGTAACCGAGATGACTTGTGATAGCAATCCTAGAAGCAAACTTTAAAATAAAATCTGTCTTTATTATTAAGAGACGCGGATACATGCTTCTACTTGCGCGATAGTAATGTTTGGTGGCAACGACCCCAGCTTTCCTCCTAATTCAAAATATATTTTTGCAGACAATAGCAATCATCCCAAACCAAAATCTCTAAACAACTATTCGTACATATATACCCTCGCGCACTGCGTATTCCTCGGGTATTTCTCGCGCCCTGCTGCAAATCTTTCATAAAAACCTTATTAAAACCGGTAATAAATTAGTAGAACACGTAAGTTTACATTGTCCAATTATTTATGGGCTTTTAGCTGCAATTTCATTCTTGTAAATATATCGTAATTGTACTTAAGGCTGAAACTGAAAACATGAAATTGAAGTATACATTATACATTATTACTTTATAAATTTATTGCTAAATTCCTCTGCAATATGCCGTGGATTTACGTGAGGCCAAAATGAAAACACACAATTGAAACGCAATAATGTAATAACATCCGTCTAAACTCGCAAGTGTAATAATTTATGTACTCAGTACTTAATTAACATAGTACTAACAACACATGCTATGAACGTATATGGACCCTCCCTTATAGCCAAAAGATTATGGGAATCGCCTTCCTCTAGCTATGGACATAAATAGGCTGATAATATTCAAGAATAATAATAACGCATGCAGCGAGAACAGACTGAACGCAGGCAATCAAAAGGTAATAAAAAGAGTGCGGATAAGCTTACACTGTTCTATTAGTCACTGTATATGCTGCTACAAATACATTTGTGACATGCCTTGCATTGCCTTGAGCCAAAGTGCAACATCGAAATGCAATGCACGATCGAAACTCATTAAAATGAAAACGCAAGTATAAACAATCGTGCGTAGCAAATGTATTCGCTGGAATAATTTCCAGATGCTCTGCTGTGCATGTCATGTATAATTGAAGCTGAAAAGCAGACAATCAGAATGTAATGAATAAATCATGTACGTGTAGCTCAATTAAATTACACAGCTACTGCAGCAACCGCATCCTGATATGCCGTGCAAGCGTAGAAAGACAAAACGAGCAGCATGCAGATCGTACCTTTCGTCCGCCGGGATCCGAAAAAATTTTATGCCGGTGTGTCGTGAAGAATTCTGACACCACTCAGCGCAGCACGATTTGTGATGACGGCGAGAATTCATGGATGCGTCTGTTTGGCTGAATCTTGCATGGGTTTCGCTAAAACAAACTTTACAGCGGTAAAAGCGGCCTTTGGGACACCGCAGGCTGTAGCATACATGGGCGCGCGAAAAGAAACGCCCCTTTTTCGCCGTGAGAGATAGGACGACTGCGCAGTTCCCGTTTTCCACTTCGGGTGGCGCTCTTATTTTCGCAATCTCGAACTGCAACCTTTAGGTTCACATGTGTAGTAAAAACTCCGGAGTTAATGAGTAACCTAGTAATAACTATAAAATAGAACAAAAACGTTCATTTAGGTAGTACAGCCCCCAAACGTTCGGATCGCTGCGGTCACGGGACAGAAAAACCGCGAAGTTTCACCCCCCTGCTTCAGTGGGCAATGTGGCAGCACGTTGATAGCAATGCTGAACGAGCACGTCTTCTTTCTTGTGCAGATTTTGACTGTCGCCTTTGGTGAGCATGCGCTTGCCTTGGAAAATGCTTCCATCCGGTTAGATTCGCCAGCTGCCGCAGTTCGAGAAGAAAATGACGCATTCACTGTTTCGACAATCTGCGATTTCATCGAGCCGATGCAGTATGAACGTGTGGAAGCTACTGACTACAGCGTTTCCTTCGGAGTGACGTCACGACTTGACAGCTACTTATACCAGCGGACGTCCCTCTGGCACTTCAGTGGGCAATGTGGCAGCACGTTGACAGCAATGCTGAACGAGCACGTCTTCTTTCTTGTGCAGGTTTTGACTGTCGCCTTTGGTGAGCATGCGCTTGCCTCGGAAAATGCTTCCATCCGGTTGGATTCGCCAGCTGCCGCAGTTCGAGAAGAACATGACGCATTCACTGTTTCGACAATCTGCGATTTCATTGAGCGGATGCAGTATGAACGTGTGGAAGCTACTGACTACACCGTTTCCTTCGGAGTGACGTCACGACTTGACAGCTACTTATACCAGCGGACGTCCCTCTGGCACTTCAGTGGGCAATGTGGCAGCACGTTGATAGCAATGCTGAACGAGCACGTCTTCTTTCTTGTGCAGATTTTGACTGTCGCCTTTGGTGAGCATGAGCTTGCCTTGGAAAATGCTTCCATCCGGTTAGATTCGCCAGCTGCCGCAGTTCGAGAAGAAAATGACGCATTCACTGTTTCGACAATCTGCGATTTCATTGAGCCGATGCAGTATGAACGTGTGGAAGCTACTGACTACACCGTTTCCTTCGGAGTGACGTCACGACTTGACAGCTACTTATACCAGCGGACGTCCCTCTGGCACTTCAGTGGGCAATGTGGCAGCACGTTGATAGCAATGCTGAACGAGCACGTCTTCTTTCTTGTGCAGATTTTGACTGTCGCCTTTGGTGAGCATGAGCTTGCCTTGGAAAATGCTTCCATCCGGTTAGATTCGCCAGCTGCCGCAGTTCGAGAAGAAAATGACGCATTCACTGTTTCGACAATCTGCGATTTCATTGAGCGGATGCAGTATGAACGTGTGGAAGCTACTGACTACACCGTTTCCTTCGGAGTGACGTCACGACTTGACAGCTACTTATACCAGCGGACGTCCCTCTGCCACTTCAGTGGGCAATGTGGCAGCACGTTGATAGCAATGCTGAACGAGCACGTCTTCTTTCTTGTGCAGGTTTTGACTGTCGCCTTTGGTGAGCATGCGCTTGCCTCGGAAAATGCTTCCATCCGGTTGGATTCGCCAGCTGCCGCAGTTCGAGAAGAACATGACGCATTCACTGTTTCGACAATCTGCGATTTCATTGAGCGGATGCAGTATGAACGTGTGGAAGCTACTGACTACACCGTTTCCTTCGGAGTGACGTCACGACTTGACAGCTACTTATACCAGCGGACGTCCCTCTGGCACTTCAGTGGGCAATGTGGCAGCACGTTGATAGCAATGCTGAACGAGCACGTCTTCTTTCTTGTGCAGATTTTGACTGTCGCCTTTGGTGAGCATGCGCTTGCCTTGGAAAATGCTTCCATCCGGTTAGATTCGCCAGCTGCCGCAGTTCGAGAAGAAAATGACGCATTCACTGTTTCGACAATCTGCGATTTCATCGAGCCGATGCAGTATGAACGTGTGGAAGCTACTGACTACAGCGTTTTCTTCGGAGTGACGGCACGACTTGACAGCTACTTATACCGGCCGACGTCCCTCTGGCACTTCAGTGGGCAATGTGGCAGCACGTTGACAGCAATGCTGAACGAGCACGTCTTCTTTCTTGTGCAGGTTAGTTATCTGCCCAACGCCAACTGTGTTCGTAGTAATAATGTTTGCTTAGTGTTGCTACCTTGCCCTCATGTGCTAAATGATGTTTGTTCCATTTTGTGCGTTTTTGTTGACTTGATTGTACAATGTGGGGATGTCAAGCGAAATCCGGGGCCTGATTCTGATAGCGATGAAGGGGTAAAGAGTTCAAAGCATCGCTCTCCGGT